GGTTCGTTTGAAACGTGCTTGGTTTAGTCGATGTTCGCATCGTATTCGAGCAAGCTCGCCCACTCCTTTTCGTAATCGGGCCCTTGCGCGGTATTTGCACGCACTCTTAGCTCGAGCACTGAAATATATACCAGCGTTTATGTACCGAATCGTTCCTCTGTACACGAGGGGGATGACCAGGTTTCGTTTGCTAAACGTTTCAATTTGCAGAAAGGTAATTTACTGAAACCTTCGGGGCACGGCAGCAGCGGTGGAACGAGAGTCGAAGGAGCGGATTAAATTCCTTTGGAACGTTTTAAAGAACGTTTCCGATTAATCTTGACAATCGGGCAAACGAAGTACAAAAAAGGGAAGAAAACCACTGTTACGTGCAATCGAAACGTGAAATCGTTTTCACGGATGGTACCTATAATAGCACCTTCTCTAATCGCGAAAGTTTAACAGTAATATTGACTAGTTTAATCAGATATTTCATTCCATGTATTCCGTCTATTCTTTTTCCGAAATTTTATAATTTTATCTTCAAAATTATATACGATAAAGAGCAAAATTGGATTTATACTATGTTAATATTCGAACAGCAATAACTTTGCGAGGAGAAATCGTACAGTAATATTTGTGGGGTCTATGTAAAGGGCAAAGCCTGTACTTTTACACCCCTGAACTTAGTTGGTTCGATTCTTAGTAATTTGAATCCCAAAATTAATTTTTTGGTGGAACTACAGTATTCGAATTCTTCTAATTTTCTATATGAAAAACTGTCTTTGTTTTCTATTATAAAAATTTCTAATTAGAAATTGAACTTAGTGGTGTGAAAGTACAATCTCTGCCCTTTATATCGACCCCACAAATATTATTCTACCAATTTTTCTCACGAAGTTACGATTGTTCAAATATGAACCTAATATAGATTCACGTTTACTCTTCGCTGTATTTTTCAATAATTCAAAATTGCTTATAAATAAAATTTTTTTTTCGCTTCTAGGTATTACTAATAATAATAAAGGATCGTGATAATAGGTACTGTAGTAAATCAAATGGAAATTGCATGAAAAATAAAAAGATACCCTTGAGAAAGAGAGCTCCGGACCTGTCAGAAATTACGTACTTG